CTGGTTTCTTCAGACATGATCATGGAATATGAGGCCTTATTGGACACAACCACAGTTCATAGCAGACACATATTTGGTGTTTGGTGGGGGGCATCATTTTTGAGTCAGAGACTCAAGTAGCTCAGGCTAGGCTCTAACTTACTGTCTCTCTGATGATAAGTTTAAGCTCCTGATTCTGATTCTTCTGCTGGTATCTCGCAATGCTGGGATATAAATACATATATATTTATATAAATATAAAAATATATAAAATATATATAATATATAATATATAAATATATAAAATATATAAATATAATATATAATATATATATATATATAAAGCCAGAGTGAAATATAGAGATCAAAGAGAAGGAGCAAGCCATGGCACACCTTATCTCCTTAGCATCTCAGCAGACAAGAGAGCAATTTCCCGTTTCTCACTAATCATATTCTGTTTCTGTCCAGCTGCCCCACTAACCAAAAAGTGAAAGACCTGTACAGTAAGAACTGTAAAATTATACAGGGAGAAATAGAAGAAAAGTATTTTTATAATGCTGAACTTATAAAATAAAAGGATGACTGGCCAAGACATGGCTGCAACATAATCTATGTTTGCTGTCTATGCATATTCCATTAAATGGACAGTGGAATCTACTGCACAGATAATTCAAGAAGAAATACCACTTTTCCTTCAATCATATGGGTATTTCAGTGTTTTCCTTGCCTTGAACTTTTTGGCATTTGCTCTTTATTACCTCTCAAAGACTTTTTTGCTGTCTTCTATTTAGAGTAGTTCAAAATAGTGGAGTGGGTGTTATGAAAGTAACCAAAAGCTCTCAGATTGGACTTCAGGCTCAATCCATTGGAAGGAAACCATGTCTGGTGCTATAAAACCCAGGCAAAAACTCATGCCTAAGGAAGTTGGAGGCAATGGATAGGGGGTTGGTTTTGTTTTTTCAATAAATGAAACAATGGAGAAGGGGGTTCATGTAGGGAGGATAAGGGGGTAACAGAAATATATGGGGGAATGAATAACTAAAGTAAAGAATGTTTGAAAAAGTATATATGAAAACCTACTATTTTGTAAGCTTCAGATTTTTTCATACAAATGAGTTTAATTGGAGTTACTCTACTTTATACAGGGATTTATGCTTTGCAAGAAGCTACAGGTTGCCAAATTAAAAGTTAAAAAAAAAAAAAACATAACTCTCCCCAAATTGTCCCGAACGACACCCAAAACAAAATGAGTCATTGTCATTGCTCTTCATTGTCAACCAGTACTTGATGGTAAGACCTTATTGATGAAGACACCACATGAGCTGGTCACAATGAATGGATGAATCACGTTGATACTGACTAGAAAGCTTCCTCCCTTCTGGTAATTTTCATAGTTTCAGAAATTGCTATGAGGGCTTCTGGAGTGTTGAGGGGGAATTATCAACAGTCTTGCCCTTCTGGGAATCATGTGAACTACAATGACAACCAGAGGGAGAAGATATTTCCATGAATATGGTAGTAGCACAAATTTTTGAGGATAAACAACTGCTTTATGATTGGATTTGAGGCCTGTTCTAGAGGGAGAAACAAATGCCTGGCACAAGAACTCATGGATGGAGAGCTCAAGGCTGCAGTGTTACCCCAAGATATTTTATGTTGCTTGTGGATATTGTGAAGGGTGATGTTTCTCTGATTTCTTTCTCAATTGCATTTATCATCTGCATATAGTAGGGCTACTGATTTTTTTTTGTATCCTGCTACTTTCCTGAAGGTGTTTATCAGCTGTAAGAGTTACCTGGTAGAGTTTTTCGGGTCACTTATGTAGAGGATCATATCATCTGCAAATAGTGAAAGTTTGACTTCTTCCTTTCTAAATTGTATACCTTTGATCTCCTTTTCTTGTCTTATTGCTCTAACTAGAACTTCAACTACAATATTGAGGAGATACGGAGAGAGTGGACAGCCTTGTCTTGTTCCTGATTTTAGAGGAATCGCTTTGAGTTTCCCTCCATTTAGTTTGATGTTGCCGGTGGTTTGCTGTATATTGCTTTTATCATGTTTAGGTATGTTCCCGTTATTCCTGTTCTCTCCAAGATCTTTATCATGAAGGGATGTTGGATTTTGTCAAAGGCTTTTTCAGCATCTAGTGAGATGATCATGTGGTTTTTCTTTTTCAGTTTGTTTATATGGTGGATTACATTGATAGATTTTCATATGTTGAACCATCCTTGCATCCCTGGGATGAAGCCTACTTGATCATGGTGGATGTCTTTTCTGATGTGTTCTTGGAATCGATTCACCAATATTTTGTTGAGTATTTTAGCATCGATGTTCTTGAGGGATATTGGTTTGTGATTCTCTTTTTTAGTAAAAATAATGGAACATTTCACATGTTTGTGTGTCATCCTTGCACAGGGGCCATGCTAATCTTCTCTGTATCATTCCAATTTTAGTTTATGTGATGCCGAAGTGAGCACGTAATGGGAAATTTTTTTGATGAACACTATAAAATTGATTATCTTTTATAGAAAAATACATTTATTAAACAGTTGCACAGAATGTTTATTCCCTATATCTTATGTTCATATAAGTAAAAAATGTGCACTATACATTCAACATTGTTACTATACTAAAATTGTCATTGAATTTATTGCATTGTAAAAGAAAAATAAACACAGAAGAAATATACTGAGGATACTTATCAGTTTTTTAAGTGTGTTTCAGTATTTCAGTGAATTTCATTATGTTAATAATAAAAGTGAAGAATGAAAGACTAATTTTCATGTAAAAATTGAAGTATATATTAGCCTCCATTTCCTTCCATATCTCCATAAAAAGGACATAAAGCGTTTTGTTTCGACTAACAAGGTGGCTTAGCAGATAAAGAACATGCTTTGTAAGCATAAGGACTGGAGTGGACATCCCTAGGACCCAAGAAAAAGCAGGCTGTGGCCTCCCTGCAATCCCAGTGCACAAGACAGAAACAAATCCTAAACCAACAAGCCCTAGGATTAGCTAGGGACTCTGCTCATCACAGACATTAGCCTCAATCCTCTACATACATATGCTTGGGCACCCCCCCACCCCCACCCACATACACACAGACCACACATACATATATACATACAAATGTAAAAATAGTTTTATTCAAACCACAAAGGCAAAATGTTCATGAGACAGTGCTAGAGTTGAAAGCAAATGGATGACAGAAAATGGACTGAGACTCATTCAAGTACAAAGCTGCCAACAGGGAAATCAAAGAAGCAACATGACTTATTTTGGTTTTTACTTATTTTTTTTACAGTGATGAAGATCAATGCCTGTGACTTGTCATGGTAAGAAGACATCTTACCTCCAAACAACATGAATTATACCAAAAATTCCCCCCAAAGCCTTAGAAATTGGTGGTGACAGGTTATAAGAAGCAAGCAGACACTCTCCACCTCCCACTCTCTGCTATACCCTGCAGCTAGTCATTAATATCCTTCCTCCACTCCGGGAGATTTGTAGTCTGTCCTCTGGGGTCAGTAAAACAAGGAGTCACTGTAGTGACTATCCCAAGATGAGGTGAACAACATGGAGAGCAAGAGGAGTACACACTTACAAAGCAAGCATTGAGAGTACTCTGTATTTTCTCACAGGATTCCAAAAATGAGGGCAATATATTTATATCTTCCATGAAAGACTTGGGAAGATTGGTTTGAGGGGTTTTCAGAAAACCAAGAAAGGGAATGTAAAGACTGCCTTAAAAACAAAATCTCCTAAAATCCCATGCGCTGACTTAAATTTTTTTCTTTTACTGATCAAAATTGTGTCTTTATAGCCACATGCAGCGCCAAGGGATGTGTAGAAGTTTGCTTTCTGTCTTCCATGCTGGACTCGTTGCTACTCTGAAAAGAATCAAGTTATTGTTGCAGAAAACAAGGGACATGTTTATTGGATGGGACATGAACAGCATGTATCAGAAAGGATTTTAAAAACTGAGATGCTTCAATAATGGGCTAAAAATTCAGTTCCAATTTCTAGGAGCTTAAATGCTCACAGCAGAGCAGACCCATAATTTAACCATCACTCTGTGCCACTTGTGTGATTGTGACCTTTAAGTTAGGGTAGCAAACAAAGGAAGTTTGGGAGAAAGGAAAAGGGTGGAACATGAGTGCCTATCTTTCTTTACTCCTAAAATAACTGCTTCAGTTAAGAATTTTTATAAAAGAAAATTTGTACCAGATCACCAATACTGCAACTTATGACAGCAGTCAAAATATGTGTCTCTTTACGTGGTGGATCTAAGGAAACATGCAGATGCCTAGCAATTTAGATATGCCAAGAGTCAACAAAAGCTAAATGTTAAATATAAAAATTACCTTTCTATTACATAAAAAGGTGATTTTCCCAGAAAATGAGTTTCAAAATACAATATTGTATTCTCTGTAATGTTGCTTTTATCATTTGAAGGGGAGACATTTGTACATTGGTTCCTTCTTTTATTGCTCAAGAAGTCACTATTTTCTTTCCACTGCCATCTGTTCTGATTACTATTCACAGTTTACCCCTGAAGGTGACTCCAGCAGTGTGAAGAGGGTATAATTAGTAAAGCTTTTCTCTCTCATTGCATATCTCAGAGAAAGGTGGGAATCACGAGAACAGTCATCAGTGGATCATTCCCAAACAAGGAAAGATACTGAGAATCAAAATTCAGATGTCATGATGCATAGGCTGCCTAGGTCAACACAAGATGCTTGAGTTGAGCATGCTTCTTCAGATAATTGAGGGAGATGATGAAACAGTTATCAGCACTGATTAAAGAGGAAACTGTATCATATGCACATGTAAAAGCACAGTACAACTTGACATTTACTTTGATTTATTTGTCCATAAGTATGATAAGCTGGTCCTAGAGGCCTGTGAGCCTGGCTACCTAGGAAATATTATAATTCAAGACCCCCATGGGCTACAGAGTGAATTCAATGCCAGGCTGAGGTACAGAACACATTCAAAACCACTGTGAACTACCAAGTACATTCAAGACTACCATGGGCTACAGAATACAATCAAGACCAACATGGGCTACAGAGAACATTCAAGACTGCTATGGGCTACAGAGTGGATTCAAGGCCACTGTGGGGTACAGAGTACATTCAAGAGCCTAAGTTAGCCCCAGCACTCATGTAAAAGACTAGTCTGTATAACACACACACACACACACACACACACACACACACACACACACACACACACACACACACACACACGGACATAAAAATTTATAACTTGTTATGTGAAAATATAAATAGCATTATGAAAATGCAGGTGTGAAAACAAGCCATAAAAGGTTGACTTAAGGATAATAGAGAAAGGACCTTCAAGTTGGGGATGGAATCTGTTGCTTTTCCATAGTTTTGCCACTCCTGTATTCATTTCTTGACACTAGCTTGAAGAGTCACTGTGGAAGTCTCTTCTTTAAGTGGGGTTACAGTCTAATAGAGAGGATCAGATGGAGAGACTGGTACTCAAAACATGGAAAGGTGTTGGTTAACCAGTGGAAAAACCAGAATGCTATACATTTCTAAAGGGAGTGGAAGTTGACACAACCACTCTGGAAACTGATTGGCAGCATCCTCCCAAGCTGATATGCACACCCACCCCTTGATGATCAAAAGAAATACAAGCAGGGATGCAATAAAAGATGTTCAAATGGTGAACAGGGCAGCACTCTGTACAGCAATCCAAATCTATAGACAATTAAAAAGATGTATCAGTCATTTATGAATTCATCAAAGATTAAATAGAAAACATTTTAAACACTACCTATTAGTGATAAAATGCATTTTTTAAAAGACAGAGGGCTATACAACAGAATCTTATAAGCAATTGAACAGAATAAACTAGTATTAGGTAAAAGAAAATACATAGGTAAATCTCACAAGTATAATACTTGGTCAATGGCACCAGACACAAAAATTATATATGACATGACCCTATTACTATAGTGATCATCTAGAAACAAAATTAACTTAGCATATTATAAGTCAGGAAAATAAGAAGAGGTTTTTAGAGGCCAGCTGAGTGCTGAAACAGTCTGTTTCTGAGTAGCAGGAGCTGATAACTTGTAAAATCTTCACAAGTTTTTTAACACAATTTTTCTGTACTTGTCTACAGTAGGAAGTGCAAAGAAGAGTAAATCTGTGCGCTATTACAATGTTATGACTTACAACAAAGTTTGATAAACTTTTATAAGGCAATAGATTCTAAAACATTAGAGTTTTCACTCTGGGGAATATGCCCAAAGGACTCTATATCCTACTCTAGAGATACATGTAGATGGAAGTTTCTGTCCCGTACAATCCCACATCAGCTTAGTACCAAATAAACACACAGAGGATAATACTAATTATAAATTGTTTGGTCAATGGCTCAGGCTTCTTATTGGCTAGCTCCTCTTAATTATTAACCTATTTCTATTGATCTATGGATCTCCACATGGTCTTGGCTTACTGGAGAATGCCCAGGCATCCTACCTTCCCAGTGGCTACATGGTGTCTGTCTCTGGTGACTACTTCCCTGACTTTCCTCTTCCCAGAATTCTCCTAGTCTGGTAGCCCCACCTATACTTCCTGCCCGGCTACTGGACAATCAACATTTATTCACCAACCAATAAGAAAAACATACATTCACAGCATACAGAAGGATATCCCCACATCAGATATATTCGTTGTGCTCTATGTGCATAAGGAAAATGCAGTATGTTTACAAGTGAAATATTAAGCTACTAAAAAAAGAAATTGTGGCATTCACAGATAAATGGATGAAGCTGGAGACAATCATTCTGAGTGAGGTAATCCAGGCTCAGAAAGTCAAATGTTGGATGTTCTCTCTTATCTGTGGATGTTAGACCAATCTTTAGATATCTGTGCCTTGTTTGAAATGTCCATAAAAGTCAGGAAATCACTAAGGGATGGTGGAGAAAGACTTTAAGGAAATGGATATGGGGATGGGAGATAGAAGGCATGTATATAAATGACTAAAAAGGAATTATGAAACAAAGGGATAAATTGGGGTACAAAAGAGGATAGTATGATAGAAAAGTGAAACTGGAAGAGATAAATAATATTAAAGACTTTTTAAAGCCTTATTGAAATTTACTCCTCTAGAAGCTTCATAAGGTTATGTATATGCATCATTAAATGGTTAAAATGGAGTTATCCTGTAACAAGGTAAGAAACAATGCCTCTACAGACAACAAAAGGTAACAAATAAAAAGCCCAATTCCAGAAATGGCCAGTGAGGTAACATAAACCCCAAGCAAGTCAAACTATTTCCAATACTCTTGCTTTCTCTCCAGAATTTGATGGTGAGACTCTATTGCTGACGACACCACACACTTGACTAATTGAATATGGAGAAATAAAGGTGGTACAGACATCGATGCTTCATCCCTATTGGCTATCTTTCATAGTTCTGAAAGGTTCTACACACT